AACAGTTTCAGGTTATCTTTTGACGCGATGGAATTTAGGTTAGTGCACCGTTCGGGTTTAACTACCAGGCAATGATTAAGTAAAAGGTTTCCTCAGCATTGCAAAACGGAGTGTGTGTGTGTGTGTGTGTGTGTGTGTGTGTGTGTGTGTGTAAGTTCTTGTCTTAGCTACTTGCCCTCACACCCTTATAGAGTTGGTATGGCTTAAAAAAAGAGTCAAAATGATAAAAGATGAAGGTAAGACATATAGTTAGCTTCACTACTTCACCATACCACCACCACTACCACCACTACCATCACTATCACCACACCCACCTTACCACCATAACGATCACCACCTAACTAAAACAAAGACCATCAACCTTGCCAACACTATACCAGCACCATCACACCACCATACCACCACTACCCACACGTGAAACACATTATAATCGTTAGAGGTGAGGGAGGGAGAGGAAGAGAACGAGGCTGTCGACACTACGGCTCGTTCAGCATCACAGAGGCGGCAGGCAGGCGGACGATCCTTCCTCACCACTGACTCGCTCGTAACTTACGCATCATAAACAACTTGTTGATGTGTGTGTGTGTGGTTGGTGGGGTAGGGTTAAGGGGGGGGGGGAGTACATTTAAACTATAATATTTAAAGGTTGTAGTAGTCAATTTCAGTTAATATTTATTGGCTTTAAAATTGGTATGCTATGTGAGTTTATTTTTATGTATTTTTTTTCTATTAATGAATGCAAAATCTACTTCTCTACCGGATGAAATGATGAAGAAAACGAGATGATTTTTTTTTCTCACAAATATTTACAAAATCCAGCAAATGACTAAAAATCCCCCTAAAACAGAGACTAATACACATATATATATATACATGGAGAGAGAGAGAGAGAGAGAGAGAGAGAGAGAGAGGAATCCTTGTACGCTTAAGTCAGAAACAAGTCAGTAATTTTTTTTTTCAAGGTTATGGAAAGTTGGATGGTGTCGTGGCAATGGTATGGTGTGATGGTGATGATGTGGTGGTGGTGGGGGTGTGTACTGGTGGTGGTGGTGATGTAGTGGTGGTAGTGGGAGTGTACTGGTGGTGATGTGATGGTGATAATGTAGTAATAGTGGTGGTGGTGGTGGTGAAGGTGTGGTAGCGGTATGATGGTGGTAGTGGATTTTTTTTGTGTTTGGTCAGGACTTTTCAACAATTTAGTCAAGTCAGGTAACAAGTCAGGTTTTCTTAGGTTGTTTTTCATGGCTAAGGGAAATTTTTATCAGCTCAAGTGAAATACACCAAATTAATGTTAACTTATCCTTCAAACTTGACGTAAATCAGCACTCAGTCTGACTCATCATTTAACAGATAAACTCAGTGTTATTTCAGTCTTGATAGATAATTACCATGAATTCAACTGAACTAAATGCGTCTGGAAGTTAGCGTAGCGAGATGTTTTACTCTTTAATTAAACTTTGTAACTAGATAAGAGATAATTATATTCTTTTGTCCATTAAACTTGTCTCTTCCCCAAGAAAAACACTCAAACAAACATTAGCTGCTGGTTCTATGTTTGTAAGGTTATTGAACATTCCATCAGTAATATATATTGTTATACGAAATAGTTAACATCAACTCGAAACTGTATTTATCTCAACCAACTGGTAAATCAGGTATATAATGTCGTTAATTCATTACAGTGCGACAGACCAGTTGTATATTGCCTTGTCACCGTGATGTTGTGTTTAGGAGTTTATCGATTTCGAAAAGGTTTCACTCATTAGTTAAGTCTGTTTGCCTTATATGTGTCATGAGAACCATATATTGATAATATTAGTAAGCTGCTTCACCTGATATATTACTCAGTTGTTGGTGGTAGTTCGTCCCTCACCTCTCTTTCCTGGTTCTCTTGACTGGAACTAATTGTCAGCAAGATGTTTCTGGCTGTAAATAAGGCGAGGCTCGGGTCCACAGGTTCATTTGTATAACAAAGTGTCTAGCCGCAGACCATTTCATGAAGGGTGTAAGGGTAGTGTGGGTGTGTGTGGCGTTTATTGCTTTCTTTCTCTCATGTGGTGGATACTTAACTCCCTCAGTGATAGAGCGTCGGATTAGTTACTGGCTTCTAAATGGGTCTGTTATACTGCTGCCTTTTTGCTTTCAGACCTATTAACCTAAGTAATGTTGACCCCAAGTCATAAGTTATCTTACTGCTAGTGGAATTCTTGTAAGGTAATATATATATATATATATATATATATATATATATATATATATATATATATATATATATATATATATATATATATATATATATATTGAGAAAATATATTTGGAATCATTTAATTCAGTTATTAGTATGCACGCTGCACACGGGTCTGTCTACACGTGGAGGACTCACTCGCGGTCCCACGTGTGTACACTAAGTGTTTACTTCTACTCCAGTGTGAAAGCCGAGTCTTAAAGATGGCAATCACAACGATGGAAAAATTGCCCTGAAACTACAATAACTAGACACGGCCTTTCATCTCCCGGAATAGAAGAAAAAACTGAATTTATGAGAACCCGGTCCTAGTACTCCAGCAGGGTGAGATGGTGTACCCAGGACACCCCGCCAGTAAGCGGCAGCCTCAGAGAAGACTCGGGTACTGCCCGGTGACGGTACACGTCTTGTGGCAGGTGAATGTAGAGACTTGTGTTACATTAATGTGGTGCGCGGAAGACTGGCAGTAGACTTATGTTCTCGGGACAGCTCACGTATTGAGAAATACCTCGGTTATGTTCCCTCCACCAAACACAGTCCCGCTAACTTACAACGATAAGTTGCTGATAAACCAACCTGTCTGGTACTTTCTGTATTTGTGTTGCTATTTCTAAAAGTAATTGATGACATTACCTCTGTTTTGCTTAAAAGTGAACAATGGGACGTAGCTGCTGGCAGTGCTTCTTGGTCACGGGCAAAACTTCCACAGTAATTTGAGTTTATAAAATTTCCAAATGTCTTAACTTATTTTTATCAACAGCTGAAAGATTACATAATACAGATCTTTATACAGTATACGATCGATTTATTTCTTGTGATATTTGGTATTGATGATAACAAGGTAGGTTGAATGTTCGTGCGTTACCAAACAATTTTGAAGTGGATACTCTTGGAATAAAATTTGACCAAGGGAAGACAACGAGGAGACACGTGAAGAATCTTGGGAGTAAGGCAACGAGAAACTTAGCGGTCTTAAGATATATCTCACATATTCTAGAGCAGTATTTCTCAACGGGGTCCACTTGTATACCTTACCCCAGAGAATATGATCACCAACAGTTTAAAAGTTCTTCATATATTTTCACCAAATTTCACGACACGACTTTTGTCTTTCATTGTACTTACCGGTATTTTTCATGGTTGTGGGTGATTTTATGGATATTATGGTTGCCACTGATATTCATACATGTCTCATATCCACATACAGCTGGTTATGGGCCACTGAATTGTGTCTGGTTGTGATACGTGATCAGCTGTTTGGTAGGGAGAATATTGTGAATTTCACTTGCAGCATGATTTACTTCTGTCCTGATTGGCCTTTCAACCATTCTGTTTTCGAAATACTGTAAAATATACGACAGCGGACATGACGTAACTCATCTTAAGCTTGGACACGAGCTGACGACACTTAAGCTTGGACACGAGCTAACGACATTTAAGCTTGGACACGAGCTGACGACATGAATTGGCAGCGTGTGTTCTTATCAACAGAGCTGACAATAATGCTGTATATAGATGACAACAGCTTTATTTTCAGATTCATATGTGCTGAGGTTATCTCACCTGACTCCATTTCGACGATAACCAGAAAACTGAAAACTGTTTACGGGAGAAGACACTTGGCTATCGATACTCTCATCTTGGTTTACAGTCTTCAAGGCTATCGCTTCATCATACTATACAGTATGTTTTACTTCACTTTACTTATTTTTACTTTTACCCTCTTCACCACTGATCGGCTCGTTAGCCGCTTGGGTGATCGGTCACGTCTTTGTTATGCACTGTTGGCAAGTACTGGGCATGCACCGGCTCCTGAATGTGCCTGAACCTGCTCCAGTGTTGGCCAAGTCTGGTCTTGATAGAGCTCACACTCGGTGCCGTCACAACACTCTCTGGTAGATTGTTCCAAGAGTTCACAACTCTCGCTCCGAAAAAGTTATCCCTCACGGTTTTCTGGACTTGAGGCTTCTTCAACCTTGAGCTGTGACCCCTCGTGGGGCGAGCGTCCGCCAGCTCCAAGTAAGGACACTCAACTGAGTAGTGCCCCTTGAGATGCTCACGCCTAACTCAAATATGGATTTTTATTTCGGATAATCTGAAGAGTTGGCATCTCAGCTTATTTCACCCCTGGAGATTAGGCACCAAGCAAATAAAGCCTCACCCAGTAGGTACTTACCAAGGAGGTGTAGCCTCAACAAGCAGGCACAGCCTCAGCAAGCAGATGTATTCAGCAAGCAGATACAGCCTCACCAATCAGGCACAGCCTCACCAAGCAGGCACAGCCTCAGCAAGCAGATACAGCCTCACCAATCAGGCACAGCCTCACCAAGCAGGCACAGCCTCAGCAAGCAGATGTATTCAGCAAGCAGATACAGCCTCACCAATCAGGCACAGCCTCACCAAGCAGGCACAGCCTCACCAAGCAGGCACAGCCTCACCAAGCAGGCACAGCCTCACCAAGCACCAAGCAGGCACAGCCTCACCAAGCAGGCACAGCCTCACCAAGCAGGCACAGCCTCACCAAGCAGGCACAGCCTCACCAAGCAGGCACAGCCTCACCAAGCAGATGTACTCACCAAGAAGATGTATTCACAGAGCAGGTGCAGCCTCACCAAGCAGGCACAGCCTCACCAAGCAGATACTGTCTAACCAAGCAGATGTACTCACCAAGCAGATACAGCTTCTCCAAGCAGGTACAACCACACCAAACAGGACTCACCAAGCAGATACTGCCTCGCCAAGCAGGTGTACTCACCAAGTAGATACAAGCTCACCGAGCAGAAGCAGAGTAGCTATGTATGAGAGGCGTGGTCCACCTGAGGGAGGAACAGGTTGGTCAGATGGGCGTGAGCACCGACCCGCCCACAGCACCACCAATAACACTAACTTATCGCCTCCCTCCCCAATAAACGACCGCTTGAGTGAATTTGATTTGTACTGGTGTATAATTTACACTTAAGTTTCCCTTCGATAAGATCAGGAATAATTGTGGTATTAGTCGGGTGAGTTTAGCAGCGGACACTTCCTCCCCTCAACGCGGCCGTCCCTCACACTACCCAACACGATCAGTCGGGTCCTTCATCACAAGCCTTCATACTTGCCCCAGAGAATCAGGGCATAAGGCTGGAGTTTTAATTAATTCTCTTCGTGCCTGTAAGTATTAAAAAAGATAAGTACGGTCTCCGGAACAATAGCTACTCCCACCTCTCCGTTCTTTTGTTGGGATTTTCACGGTCCACTGATTTAAAAAGATAAACTGAGTTCTAATTATCTGATAAATAGACTTGTGGGGTCAGAGATATTCACTTGCCGAGTCAGCCACAAGTTTCTCTCGCGTCCAGTCAGCTGATGGAAGACCTCACAGGGTCATTATATTGTGAGCAGCTCGTAAGTTTGAGGCTTCAGACCCGCAAGCTGAGGGCGGTGGTGGTGCTTGACCCCTGAGTGATCACAATACCGGCCAAGTGATGTGTGGGCGGGGGTAGAGAGAGAGAGAGAGAGAGAGAGAGAGAGAGAGAGAGAGAGAGAGAGAGAATACACTACCTAACCTAACCAGACCTACTGTATTTATCGATATATTTCATCCTTGTGTTATTGTATTATTTAATCCTGGCGAGTAAAGTGAAGATCATCGCGTGTTTAATGACCTTGTTACGGACCCTTGTTGTTCGTCACGCCCCCGCATAACTATCTGAGGATGTGACTAGAATTATATAACATTTTATCAGTTCCATGTTATTATTTCAGAATCAACAATAGAGGTAGGAATACAGGTACAGGTAGGAGTACAGGAACAGGTAGAGGTACAGGTAAGAATACAGGTACAGGTAAAGGTACAGGTAGGAATACAGGTACAGGTAAAGGTACAGGTAGGAATACAGGTACAGGTAAAGGTAAAGGTAGGAATACAGGTACAGGTAAAGGTACAGGTAGGAATACAGGTACAGGTAAAGGTAAAGGTAGGAATACAGGTACAGGTAAAGGCACAGGTAGGAATACAGGTACAGGTAAAGGTACAGGTAGGAATATAGGTACAGGTAAAGGTACAGGTAGAAATACAGGTACAGGTAGGAATAAATGTACAGGTAAAGGTACAGGTAGGAATACAGGTACAGGTAAAGGTACAGGTAGAAATAAAGGTACAGGTAGGAATAAATGTACAGGTAAAGGTACAGGTAGGAATATAGGTACAGGTAAAGGTACAGGTAGGAATAAATGTACAGGTAAAGGTACAGGTAGGAATACAGGTACAGGTAAAGGTACAGGTAGAAATAAAGGTACAGGTAGGAATATAGGTACAGGTAAAGGTACAGGTAGGAATAAATGTACAGGTAAAGGTACAGGTAGGAATATAGGTACAGGTAAAGGTACAGGTAGGAATATAGGTACAGGTAGGAATACAGGTACAGGTAAAGGTACAGGTAGGAATATAGGTGACAGGTAAGGTAGGTAAATAAAGGTACAGGTGGGAATAAATGTACAGGTAAAAATTTAAGTGAAGACCTGAGTAAAGGTGCAGGTGAATTTAGGTGCAAATGGGAGTGCAGGTGAAATAAAGGTGCAGATAGAGATAGATGTACAGGTGAGGGTGCAGGTGGGAATGATAGGTTGCAGGTGGGAGTGCAGGTGGAATACAGGTGCAGGTGAAGGCACAGGTGGGAATGCAGGTGCAGGTGGGTGGGTGAGATACAGGTACAGGTGAGGTACAGGTGGGAATATGGGTGCAGGTAAGGTGCAGGTGGGAATGCTGGGTGCAGGTGGATTACAGGTGGGGAATGGGTGCAGGTAAAGGGTGCAGCTGAGATACAGGTACAGGTTGGAGAGAATAGGTGTAGGGCACAGGTGGGGAATCTGGGGTACAGGTGGGGTGCAGGTGAGATAGATTCAAGGTGCAGTTGAAATAAGGTGCAGGTGAGATACAGGTACAGGTAAAGGTACAGGTAGGAATACAGGTACAGGTGATGTAGCAATTTTAGGTCACATCTGTCTTAAAGATTATCGATATCACACCTGTATTAAAGTTTTCACTGCATCAGTGTGTGTGTGTGTGTGTGTGTGTGTGTGTGTGTGTGTGTGTGTGTGTGTGTGTGTGTGTGTGTGTGTGTGTGTGTGTGTGTAATTTCCGCTTGTTTGTCGTTTATCTTGGTGATAATAATTGTCTCCAGCTCACGCTTATCCCATTATTCCCTTGAGTGCGATAACTTAAAACCCCTTGAGTACTATGACTTAACCCCTTGAGTACTATGACTTAACTCCTTGAGTACTATGACTTAACCCCTTGAGTACTATGACTTAACTCCTTCAGTACGATGACATAATCCTTGAGTATGATGACATATTCCTTTGAGTACAATGAAACCCTCTTGAATACGATGATTTCACACCATCAGTAATAAAGGGTTCTCATTGTACCCTAGGGGTTTTAAGTCATCGAACTCATGGGGCTGATTTATCGTACTTAAGGTGTTCATGGCTATATCTATCTTTCTAATAATAGTAATAATAATAATTAACGGTTTATTGAAAGAGGATGACAGCCTGAAGGCTGAAATATACAGTTACATAATTGGGGAATGGGTCACTTGATTTACAATATATAAAGTATCATGAAAGTGATACAAATATGATATATAATAACTAGGTGGGGAAGGTCATACTACAGGGCATTTCAACATAGTGACAGTGCAAAAGAAGATTGATAGGAGTGAATCACTGGTTTATTACAAGTTGTTGATAATTTTTTATGGTTGGGACTGGGCTGTTCTTATAGCGATCAGTTCATGTCGTATGGGCTGGATGCAGTTGTGAGTGTCGAACAGCAATTCTCAGGCGAGGATCTCAGGTGGTAGTAGGGCCGGTGTCGAGTGGTGAAACTCACCAACTTGCAGATGAGGTCGTGGTGATGGTCAGTGAGCAGAAGGTTTGTGAATGTGTGTGTGTGTGTGTGTGTGTGTGTGTGTGTGTGTGTGTTTTATCATCTGAGGGTGGGGGTGAGGAGACAGGTTAAGGAGATCCCTGACTGACAAGGGAGGAGGTGAGGGTGAGGTGGGGGAGGTGAGGGAGGAGGGAGGTGGGGGGAGGTGGTATTGAGTTAAAGTGTTTTGACTGACAAGGTTGGGGAGCTGGGGAGGTGGGATGAAGGTGGGTGGAGGGAGGAGTAGTGGGTGGAAGGAGGAGAGGTGGGTGGAGGGAGGAGTAGTGGGTGGAGGGGGAGGAGTAGTGGGTGGAGGAGGAGTGGTGGGGTGGAGGGAGGAGTGAGTGGAGGGAGGAGTAAGGGGTGGAGGGAGGAGTAGTGGATGGAGGGAGGAGTGGTGGGTGGAGGAGGAGTAGTGGGAGGAGGAGTAGTGGGTGGAGGTGGTGGGTGGGAGAGAGTGGTGGGTGGAGGGGAGGTAGGAACCATTATTAAACCTGTATATTAAAGTTGTTCGTTGAAGATTTAATCCTTTTTTTCGTATATAAGGAGGCAATGCTCGTAGCCTTTGATTTCCCCAACTGTAAAGGTAGCAGGCTGGGTGGTGAGACGAAACGATGACCCCTAGGACGAGCACTGTAGCCACACAGCCACACCTTACTCTACTATATCCTCAGTAACAGGGAAAAAATAAATTAAGAATATGAATCTCACTCTGAGATGTAAGGAAATATTTATATAGTTAGGTTGGTTTAAAGTAATGCCCAGGTCTACTGTAACGAAGAAGAAAAAAATATACAAAATAGTACCATAAATATACTGAGACTATCGTAACTTGATAAATGTATTCTTGTAATTAGTTAGGTTACAATATTAACGACGCGTACAATATATTTACGAGTTCGGACCCAGGTGAAAGCTTAAAATAGCCAGTCAGTGTAATTTGTAACGGGGGAATAATATAGAGTATTTTATGTCCTTAGCTCATGTAATATATTCGTATATTATATAAGTTTTAATATTCCTCTTATTTTGACTCGTAGATATAAGGAGTTTAATGGTTTGTTCCTGCGCATTTTTCTTCTGATATATCCTGTACATTATTCTTGGGTGGGTGTGGTGGGGAGAGGAGGGATGTGTTGGTGTGTGGGGGTAGAGGTGTGGGATGGGAGGGACATTGAGGGGAGGTGTGGGGTGGGAGGGAGGGACATTGTGGGGAGGGAGGTGTGTGGGGTGGGAGGACATTATGTGGGGAGGGGAGTTGTGGGGAGGGAGGGAGAGGGGCGTGTTTTCCCTCTTCCTCACCCTACCTGATCCTTGAGTCCCTCCAGCGTCGGGGATGTCACAGAGACTCAGGGAAAGTTTAGTGCTGAAACATATGTTGACATCCTTAATGATTTTTTCCTTCCCTCTCTTCGCCAGAAGAATATTCCCTTCCCTCCCGGCGCCATAATATTTGATACTACTGACAATCACAAGGTAAACTACTGCTACAAACTGCCTTTAATACAGTAGTTAATAGTTTGATTGCTTGCACAGGTAAACAAAGACACGCCTAACGTCTTGTCTTTGAACACCTTTAAGTTTAAGGTAATTGACTTTGTTTGTTTTGCCTGTAGTCTGTCTAAAATATTAAGCCACAAAATATGTGTTGGTAACTTTGGTTTAGTCGTGGTCTGGGTTGCTTGTCCTGAGACAACACACACGTCTCCCAAAGCGTTGACTTTCGGAATAAGAAAATAATAATTTAAAATGTGTTATATCGTTATTTGTTATGGGTAATACAGTCTTATCTTATCTCTGTTTGTTTCTCGTTGTTTTGTTTGTTTTTAGTAAGCAAATAAAGCGGGATAAACAATATAAATTACTCTGAATACTTCTTGTCACCATTTGACTGACACCGTTTCGACACATCGGTGACGTAAGTGTTTCGAGGGTTCAGGAACAGCTTTTCGACACATAAGACTCAATCATTCAAAACAAGTCATTATATGAACTAAAATATTAGCATATAATCTTGTGTAATACATCGCTTTATACTTTATAATTATAACAGATAGAGACAAAGATCACTAAAGCTATATGTGGGGAGAAACGAATGAATAAAACACGACTAAACTCAGTCC